ATGCAATTTGATTGAGGCGATGCGCCGGCGGAGCAAAGTCACACTAGTTGGGGGAAGCCTGTTTGGATGGGAAAAAAACTCAAGTAAAATCAAGGGAAGGCCCTGGCCGGCGCGGAAAGGAAGGAAGCGATCAATGGAGTGCGCCGCGATCGAGGAGGGTTGACGTGGAAGAGATTGGCGGAATTACCAATTTCCACCGCACACACCTTGTTGGGATTTACGTTAGAGACTACAAAGCCATTATGGAATTATTGAGGTTGGTCAATTAAGTGAGAAGTTTGTTGGTGGCAAATGTTAACGTGGCTAGAGATATTGAATGGGTTTATTTAGGTTTTTGCAAATGGAAAAGCACAATCCGCTAGCTCCACCATATGCCCAGGTATGAGTTCTCGAAATTCAAACTAATGGCTTGATCAATTTGGTGAGTGTTTGAGGGGTAAATTCTATGTTTTGCGTATTTTTAAGTATTTGTTTTACGAGTTTTAAGTATTTTTATAAATTGGTTGATATTGTTGTTTATGCTTATGGTTGATGGTTCGTGTTTTATTTGAGTTATGATTTGAAGTAAATGTTTATGAGTTTATTATTTACTTTGAAGCTTTATGTTTACGAGTTATTGTTGAAGTTTCATAAACAAGTTTCTTTTTAAGAAGTACTACATCTTCAAAGAAGGTGGAATCGTTTTAAGAGTTTTTAGTCAATAGCGTAAGTCCGTTGCCCATTTGAGATTTTGAGATAGAGCAGCAATTATGCTCTTGGGACTGAGACTTTTAGGATGAGCAACAGTTATGCTCTTGAGAATTGTGAGGATGAATCTTTCACGATAAGTTTAAGATGTAAGGGGGATGAATCGTTACGATTCCCCTACCTAAGTTTAAGTTTAAGGAAAGCCTGTATGGGATCTCATACGTATGAGTTGAGCAATCGGACTAGCTAGTGAGGGATCACGTGTCAGCCAAATATTTGAGTCGAGATTTTTTATCTTTAAGAAGGGAGAGTAGCTTTAGCACCCATACAGTTTTAAGAGTTAAAATTTTTAAGAGTGGAAGTACAAACAACTTTCACTAATTTAAGTAAGTGTTTAAGTAAAGTGTTCAAGTATTAGATATTTTAAATTTAAGGGGGAAAACTGACTCTAAATCACTCACCAGACCGTAGTAAGGGAATGAGCGAGCATCCGATTCGAGAGCAGCTAGTTTGAGGAGAGAAGCACGAGCGTCAGTGAAGATGTTGGAGAAATGGATCTCAAATAGCGACAACACGAACTTTGTAGGTATTTCAATTTATGATTATAAGTATAGATCGGAGAATAAAATTACGGGATTGTTTGGATTGATTATTTGAAAAACTTGTTATTTGGGGGCAATTACCACACAGATACCACATGATATAAAACTTATTATTTGGTCTCAAACTTGTTATTTGGCAAATACCTGCACCCTCCCAAGTATTTGGCAAACAACACTTTTTGTGTTATTTGGGTTATTTTTTCAAGTCTTTTCAGTTTTATTTTGGTTCACACTTTATCAAGTGCTTTTTGGTAAAAGTAGTACACGTCCTGATTAGAGTGTTACATTTCGGATCTTAGGAATATATTTTAAGTCTAGTATATTTAGATTAATAAAGATATTTAGGTAGTTACATATACATCTTTAATATATATTATTTATTTTAACTTGAGATTTTGGAAGTATACCTGAAGAGTTTTAATATCAATAGACAACTACTACAAACTCAAATTCGAAAAAAACTAGAATCCGAAAAAATTATGTTTCTCAAGGGTGATATCAATGCTTACAAGTTACAATGGCCTCTTCTTTCACTTTCAAATCCTCTTGACAACTTGAACGATCCCACCCCATCTCCATTCCTACTATTGTACGTAGATTATTATTTAGATCTCTCCATTCCTTATCGTTGTTGTTTTGCACCTTGAATAAGGTTGGTGGATGACATAGTGTGTTTGTTGTCTGCAAGTTGCGAAGGTTCTAATATAGATCAGTTTCTCACCTACTATCGTGCAAGCTGTAGATTGAAAGATGTTGACACGTGTGAAATCTTCTAATGGTAATGGGGATGTTGGTAATACTGTTGAGGTGAGTTAAAGCATGAATTAAGAGAGTGAAAGTTATTTATGGCAGGCGGTGGGTTTCGTCTAGTAGCATAATCTTAGATATGGTAATTAAATACTTTAAATGGATGGCAATATCGCCAACTTAGTGTAGGGGCATCTTAGAACCTCTAAAGAAGCCAAATAGACTTAGTCTTTATATTTTTATATGCTCTCTTCGCCACAAAACTAATGTGAAATTATATCCTTTTTGGCTTTATTCTATTTCATATATCCCTTTTTGGAAATCAACTGCTTTAATAGTTTCATCACTAGGTATTCCACCAATGGTTCAATGTTTTTTTGTTTTCTATTCCTACTCTTGAAATTATAATATTTCAAAAGGGATTTAATTATGTAAACTGTTAATTTGTAAGGAAAAATCTCAGGTATTGAGACTCTAATCCAAAGTAATCATGACCATATCAAGGTGTTTTTTCTATTGAACGAAGAGAATATGAACTGGAGAGGATCTAGATTGTTGAATCTTATGAAAACTAGTGTTGATCGGTATAGATAGTTGTGAGAAACCACCGACAATATGGAGAAGGACATCCGAGCGCTAGGAGAAACCCAACAAGAAGAGCTTATGTAGTTGAGAAAGGAGGTGCATCGCTTGAACGAGGAGATTAGAGTCTTAAAGGATGATGTGGTGCTGGCTGTGAAGAGCAAACTGTGTTAGTTTTTCCCATTTCCGAAGAAAGTTAAAATAGTTGATCTGAAAGGGGAAGACAATATTGGGGTGAGTTACTGTTACACTGTATATAGGTTTGTTTGGGTTCTTTACCGGTTGAGTTTAACTCCTTAATTATAAATATATCATTTGTGCAGGGAAAATCAAACTTGTACGTTGAACTGGATCTCGTTGCATGGCTGGAAAACTAAAGGTGTTCTTGTTTCAAGATAGCAACAAACCCAAGATGGAGCATAAGAAATTTAGAGTTGGGCCATTCAAAGTGGGTATTCGTGTCAGTGCCGAGGACAACATGTTACTGGACTATGTGTTTCGTACCTGTAACGAGGGAGGGTAATTATTTCATCACCCATTTCAATTTATTAACTAATGTTGTCTTCGTGACTCTAAGTTAACTTATTGTTTTGTTTATTAGTGAAGAAAAGATTGCTATGATAATTTGCACCTTTTTAACAAGAGAGGATATGTTGACACTGGCACCTAAATCTCTACTGAGCACTCTGGTAAGTAGTGCATGTTTGGACATTGATATACATTTACAAAGTAACCTACCAAAACTAGTATAATTAACCTGTTGAATTGCAGATTGTTGACATCATTGTCAAAAGGTTGACATAGATAAAACAAAAAGGGAATCTACCTTTCTGCCCGTTAAATTTGCAGTATGAAATTTATTTCGCTTGTGGCTTTAAGATTTGCATTTCACTGATAATCTTTTTGACTTAGGCGAAAGCTTCTGGAGATAGAAAGGACATACGAAACTTCATCAGAAAAGAAAACGTGAAAACTCTATACTGTTCTGACATTTGTGACTGCGAGGCAGTGTGTATTTTTTTCTTGTGAATTTGTATCTATATTATAGTTAATGTTGGGTTTCATGATGTGTAAAAATGTTCTTTTTCTGTTTTTCATATAGATATTCATTCACATATACATGGGTAACCATTTCTTGCTATGCGTGGTAAATCTGAAGAAGCAAGTGTACTGTATTTGGGACTCTTTATTCATGCATGAAGAAGACCGAAATTGAGCAAAAGTTGGTGGACATTGTAAGTAGAGTTTGTAGAGATCTCAATATGCTAATAGATAAAATCGCACTAAAATTCACTTATGAAATTACACTGAGCAGTCTTGGATATATTATTTGTTGATGGCGGCGTTGAGTGGTTCCTTGGTGTTAACTCATTCCTAAATTTTGAGTTCGACGAAACAAATGATGCTCCCCGGCAACCAATAAGTAAGTAGTACATCAATGTCTTCATTTTTAAACCATTTTTCAAATAAGGTGATTAATATAGCTACGTTCTTTGTACAATTGGGATTGTGGTATATTTGTGATCAATTTGATGAAATGTGGCCGCTTCTTGACCAAAAAAATTGCAAAGTGTATGGGGAAGCAGGTAAGTTGATTAAACTGACTCATTCTCCATTTATTGTGGTTTCAAATTTTAATTATCAATTAATTTGTAATTTCAAAGTTCAAAAGTGAGGAGGGCCGTTTGACGTTGGTGCCGGAACTTATCATTTGCACCCCGAATGAGAGGATAACCTTACTTGACAAAGCAAGAAAACTAGTCGTATGAAGAAGCTTTACTTGATGAAGTGAGGTGAATGAGATGTTTATCAATATTTTGTTCTATTTCAACAATTGGCCTCAATCTTTTTTTTAATCTTTCTTATGTTGCTTGGATAGTTAGTTCTTTGACGAGGGATTGGATCATTGGAATCTTGTTCATTTCTTATGTTGCTGGGATTATTAGTTCGTTGATGAGGATTGGAATCTTGCTCATTTCTTATGTTGCTGGGATTATTAGTTCTTTGATGAGGATTGGAATCTTGCTCATTTCATATGTTGTTAGGACTATTATTTCTATGATAATGAGGATTGTATTTATTTATTAGGTCTCCACAAGCCCCCTCCCCCTGAACTCTAACCCGTATGCAGGCTATATGTTTTGAAGCTATTTAGACTTGCTTTGCAAGTCCTCTGCCCCTAAAATTTTTGTTCTAGAGGGATTGAACCCACTACCTTAAGGTTATAGACTTTCCCATTCCATATTAGTCAATAAAGTCAGCATCTTAAACCACTAGGCTGGTCGCCTATTACTTGTACAAATGTCAATCTCTTTAGAAAAGAAGGGGGGGGGGGGGTTTGTGATGATCTTTTTTATACTAGGTAATCTATTATCCTTATGCATGAAGATAATCAATTCGGTCGTTGTGGTCGGACTCTATTATGGATTTCTGACCACATTCTCCATGGGGCCTTCTTATCTCTTCCTTCTCCGAGCTCGGGTTATAGAAGAAGGAGAAGAAGGAACCGAGAAGAAGGTATCAGCAACAACAGGTTTTATTACGGGACAGCTCATGATGTTTCTATCGATCTATTATGCGCCTCTGCATCTAGCATTGGGTAGACCTCATACAATAACTGTCCTAGCCCTACCATATATTTTATTGAATTTCTTTTGGAATAATCACAAACACTTTTTTGATTATGGATCCACTACCGGAAATTCAATTCGTAAGCTTAGTATTCAATGTGTATTCCTGAACAATTTCATTTTTCAATTATTCAACCATTTCCTTTTACCAAGTTCAATGTTAATCCGAAAACAATATTCAATATTTTGAACATTAATTATTAATTTAATTCCAAGTGTAATTAAAAAAGAGAAAAATCTTCTTTTTAGAAATTTAGAAAATAAAGAAAGTAGTAAATTACTAAAAAAATTAATACATAAAATAAGTACAATAAAAGATAAGAAGAAATGCGGCCCCCTCCTACATATTTTAGAACCTCTCATAGAAAGAAACTCGTAAAACCAACTCCATTGATAATTCCATCAATTACTCGTCTATCAAAAAAATGAGTAAATTTCGCAAATGTTCTTACCCCCTCACTTAATGATTTTTCATAAAAGGTATCTATGTAACCACGATTATAGGACCAATCATATATAACATGTAATATTTTATCCCTAAGAACTCTTTTAAGACCTTTTTTAGCAAACGAATTAAAGAAGTTCAAATTTTGAAATGATGAATAAACAGGCTTATATAAAGAAGACACTATAAATATTCCAAAATAAGCTATACTGACTGAAAAGGTTGCGTTTGTTAGAAATTCCGACCAATCGGAAGAATTTTGTTCATTTTTTTGAAAAAAGTTTAAAGACGGCATTAACAATTTGGATAATATATCCAAATTCATTCCTTCTTGATTGAATTCATTGAACGGGATTCCTATGCCTGCAATAAACAAAGTAGATAATCCCAATACAAGAATCGGAAATAACATAGTCTTATCTGATTCCTGGGGATAAAAAAAAGCCTTTAGTGTTAAAATGATTAGTAATAATAAAGGGCCATCCCCTTTTTCTTTCATTACTCTCAATTGGATATATATTTTTCCAAGAAAAGAAAACCCTTTCATTTTATTATTTATTCAGACTCAGAGGGGGAAATGCATTGGAGTACTGATCTATACCATGCACCTGAATTTACATATAGTAATGTACACCTCTTACCAAAAACAAGTCATTTATGGATATTATCGGGGTGTTCTCGTGGATTCAATATAGTTCCTTTTTCACTACATAAGGATCAAGATCAAATAGACGTTCATTCTCTTTCTGTCGAAATACAATCCATTTTGAGTCTTTCAGTAAATAATGAGCAAGTTAAAAGCAAATTCTTTAGTTCAAATCTTTCTGGTAAAAAAGAAAGTAGGATTCCAGATTATTCAGAACTAAATCGAGTCATATGTACGGATCATTGTCATCACATATATCCTGAGACTCTCTATGAGAATTCTTATTTATTGGCAAAAAGGTGAACAAATCGATTCATCATCCCCTTCAAGTCGATTCAAGAAAAAGAGAAAGAACTAATGCCCCTTTTGGGTATCTCGATTCAAATACCGACAAATGGTATTTTCCGCGGAAATAGTATTTTTGCTTATTTCGACGATCCCCAATATCGAAGAAACAGTTCAGGAATTACTAAATATGGGGCTTTAGATGTACATTCAATCATAAACATAAAAAAAGAGGATTTGATTGAGTATCGAGGAATCAAAGATTTAAACCAAAATACCAAATGAAAATAGATCGCTTTTTTTTCATTCCCGAGGAAGTTTATATTTCCCCGAGTCCTCTCCCCTAATGGTACGGAACAATAGTATCATTGGAGTAGATACACAAATCACTTTAAATACAAGAAGCCGAGTAGGCGGATTGATTCGAGTGGAGAGAAAAAAAAAATTGAAGTGAAAATTTTTTCTGGAGATATTCATTTTCCGGGATTGACCGGTAAGATATCGCGCCACAGTGGTATCTTGATACCACCGGGAACAGTAACATTAAATTCTAAAAAATTGAAAAAAGTCAAAAGTTGGATTTATGTACAACGGATCACACATACCAAGAAAAGATATTTTGTTCTAGTTCGACCGGTAATTATATATGAAATAGCGGACGATATAAATTTAGAACCACTTTTCACCCAGGATGTATTGCAGGAAAAGGATAATCTGAAATTTCAAGTTGTCAATTACATTCTTTATGGAAATGATAATGGTAAACCGATTCGGGGAATTTTGGACACAAGTATTCAATTAGTTCGGACTTGTTTAGTGTTGAATTGGGACCAAAACAAAAAAGGTTCTTCTATCGAGGAAGCCCCCGCTTCTTTTGTTGAAGTAAGTATAAAAGGTATGGTTTGTAATTTCCTCAAAATCCGCTTATTGAAATCCCATATTTCATATATTAGCAAAAAAAGGAATGATCCCCGAGGTTCCGAATTTTTCTCTGATAATGGTTCAACTCACACCAATATTAATCCATTTTATTTCAATTATTCTAAGGCAAAGATTCAACCATCACTTAAACAAAATCAAGGAACTATTAGTACATTGTTGAATAGAAATAAAGAATCTCAATCTTTGATAATTTTGTCATCATCTAATTGTTTTCGAATGGATCTATTCAACGATGTAAAATCGAAAAATGCAATAAAAGAATCAATTAAAAGAGATCCTAGAATTCCAATTACGAATTCGTTGGGGCCTTTAGGAGCAGCCCCTCAAATTGTTAATTTTTTTTCATTTTACCATTTAATGACGCATAATCAGATCTCGATAAATAAATATTTGAATCTTGACAAGTTAAAACAGACTTTTCGCGTACTTAAATATTATTTAATGGGTGAAAACGGGAGAATCGGTAATCCTGATCCGTATTCGGGTGGTAAGAGTGCATTGAATCCATTTAATTTGGATTGGTATTTTCTCCATGAAAATTATAATCATAATTATTGTGCCGAAACAGTCACATTAATTAGCCTGGGGCAGTTTATTTGTGAAAATGTATGTATGGCCAAAGATGGACCATACCTCCAATCTGGTCAAGTTATAATTGTTTACGTTGATTCTGTCGTAATAAGATCTGCTAAACCTTATTTGGCCACTCCGGAAGCAACTGTTCATGGCCAGTACGGAAAAATCATTTACGAAGGGGATACATTAGTTACATTTATCATTTTCTATAGGTACAACCTTACGTAAACCAGTATAATTAACCTGTTGAATTGCAGATTGTTGACACCATTGTCAAAAGGTTGACATGGGAAGACATGGATAAAACAAAAAGGGAATGTGCCTTTCTGCCCGTTAAATTTGCAGTATGAAATTTATTTCGCTTGTGGCTTTAAGATTTGCATTTCACTGATAATCTTACTAACTTAGGCGAAAGCTTCTGGAGATAGAAAGGACATACGGAACTTCATAAGAAAAGAGAACGTGAAAACTCTATACTGTTCTGACATTTGTGACTGCGAGGCAGTGTGTATTTTTTTTCTTGTGAATTTGTATCTATATTATAGTTAATGTTGGGTTTCATGTTGTGTAAAAATGTTCTTTTTATGTTTTTCATATAGATATTCATTCACATATACATGGGTCACCATTTCTTGCTATGCGTGGTAAATCTGAAGAGGCAAGAGTACTGTATTTGGGACTCTTTATTCATGCATGAAGAAGACCGAAATTGAGCAAAAGTTGGTGGACATTGTAAGTAGAGTTTGTAGAGATCTCAATATGCTAATAGATAAAATCGCACTAAAATTCACTTATGAAATTAAAGTTAGCAGTCTTGGATATATTATTTGTTGATGGCGGCGGTGAGTGGTTCCTTGGTGTTAACTCATTCCTAAATTTTGAGTTCGACGAAACAAATGATGCTCCCCGACAACCAATAAGTAAGTAGTATATCAATGTCTTTATTTGTAAACCATTTTTTTCAAATAAGGTGATTAATATAGCTACGTTCTTTGTACAAGTGGGATTGTGGTATATTTGTGATCAATTTGATGAAATGTGGCCGCTTCTAGAGCAAAAAAATTGCAAAGTGTATGGGGAAGCAGGTAAGTTGATTAGATTGACTCATGCTCCATTTATTGTGGTTTCAAATCCAAAACTAAGTAAACATTGTAAACAACACACTCAAATCCAAAACTAAGTATCAAATAATTTAAGGGAGAAAACAACAAAATCATAAACTAGTCCAGTTGAACATCTATGTTGTCGCATCACTAGTTGACTGCCTTCTACATTGTTTGAGTATTTTCGAGATTTATACGCTATTTTGGATACATTCAAATATCGTTTCGGTTGCTTCTACGAGCTCATCTTGTTGAGGAAGATGGGTACAAAAGTTGATCCAACATCGTGTTTGAAACTTCGTAATGACAAAACATCTACGAGCTCGTCTTTTCCGTCAACAGGCGGGCCAAAGCTCTCCTTTTTTTGCCTCCAAGTATGAATTCATAATCCCTAAAATCAAGCTCTCAGGTTCTCTGGTTCCAATCTTTTGAGGAGATACAAAGATCGGCAGCAATGATGATGCAACAACCTGTTATGAAACCAATGTTGATCTCCATAGGAAGATAAAGTGGGGACCTGATTTCGCACAGGATGTTGCTGTGAAAAAGAGGAGGGTTTTAGCTTATCAGGTATGTGGAGGATTGATGCCATTGGCCAACTAGTACTGCGGTTACCAGTGACTGCTTTATTTATGTTCCTAGGGTTTTTGTTTGTTCTCTTCGCCTTATTGTTTTGAGCATTTCAATCTTAAGCTAGATTTAGTCGTTTCAAACTTTAATGGTCTAAGGAATTGGGGTTAAAAGGCCCTTGTCCCATTGTGTGTTGAAATTCCATGTAAGCTTCCCATTCCAGGTGCTATTAAGTGATCTGCAAATTTTGTACAGACTCGAGTGGATCAAATCTCACAACAGCAAAGACAGGGGAATCTCGATCTAGGTGAATATGAGGACTCAGAAGAGTCTGTTGGATGTGCAGATTTGGAGCCTTCCAAATCACTAGTTGAGGCTAAGGTGCAATTAACATGCGAATCTAAGCAAATAATTTGAACTTTATTTGCCAAACAAATAAAAACGAGTATCCTAAGGATCTGCACTTCAGCTACCAATCTCACCACAATATAAGAAAACTAGTAATTGTGCAGCAGGTTTTGCAGATTGATGCAACAAGATCTGAAGAAAATGTTCAAGAATATAACAACTAGTAGCTATGCAACCTTAACTGCAAAATGATGTAGCTAATTTTGTAGAAAGGTTATACAAAGAGAATGGAAGCTAATCAGTAATCACATCCTCAGCTTCTATCACCTTAGTTGGGACACTTCAATTTAAGCTAACCATTATGCCACGAATTTTCATTTCATAATCTCTGCCACAAAGCATATCACATAGGTCAAAATTGCTTCAGTAACAGTTGGTCGGAGATTGTGAAACCTGCAACAATAAATGAAAATTGGTATGTTATGGCATGAGAATTTGGAATGGTACATTGTGGAGCTAGAGTAAATTCAAAATGATCTCTTGTCATTTTCCGGAGAGTGCTAAACAAATGGATGATTTGTAATTAGTAAGCTAAAAAAAGTAGGCATACAAATATCTCTCGACTATAAAATAAATAAAAAATTGCAGTGCATACTTACTTCAAGTATAATCGTCGTCCTCCTCCTCCTCATCATCGTCCCCATGCTCGTCTTCATCCTTGTAATCATCCTCGTTGTCCTTATCGGCCTCATTATCAAGCTTGTCCTCTTCCTCAACCTTTGGTGTTCTCTTGTTTCTAACTTGCTCGCTCGAACGTTTAGCCGATTTTTTGGAGGATTTTTACAAGTGGAGGCATAATGACCAAAATCACCACAAATGCCAATTTGTCTTGATTTGACAATCTTCCCCTTATTGTTCTTAGTCAGTCGACCACCTTCAAAATATGTATGTACCGGATCTTTAATATGTCTATAACGTTCATATGCATCACCTTGATCATATCAAGGATCCTCTGAAGAAGCACCTTCACTAAGAGTACTCATTGCCTTCAATTTCGCACACAATGTAGAAATCTCTACACGAGCAACTTTGAATATACTTGGAGATTCTACACCTATTGATGACAATTGTAAGTTGTGGTACTGTAAAATACCATATCTCCATATGCGTTCTTCTTCCTTTGATGGAGTGTCATTTCTATGAAGATTTTCCAAAGTACCTTTCGGTTTTTTTGTCCACCTCGGCAAAACCAACTATGATGGCATACCGGTACTATGAAATTTCTACTGCACTCCATTTCTGATGTGGTTGGTTGATATGTAACTTCTACGACAACCTCAGAGTCTTCATACATTTTCATCTCATAGACACAGTGAGAAAATCTTTCAAAAGATATGTTGATAATGCATCCACCAGATGCTTCGAGTTGCTCCCGAAATGTAAAAATTGTCTCCCTTGAGTAAACACTAGCACCCCTTATTTTGCGATATTTCAAACCTGCGGTTTTTAGCTCAAGAGTCCCATAGTTGGCCTTGAAGTATGCTTTACCTCATTCTCTCAGAAATGTCGCAATGCACGATCAATATCATTAACAAACTCCAGGAGATTATGTTAGACATTAACATACTTAATGAATTAATTGACCCCTTCACAGAGAGATGTCGTCCGAACGTTAGCAAAAAACTTATCTCTCAGGTATGCAGTTGCCCACTCTCGTCTTTTCTCATAAGTGTTTCCGATCCATCTATTGTCTACAAGTGAAAGCTTGGTGGTGATTGAAGTCCACTTCTCTTCAAAATCCTCAATCCCACAATCAGCAAATATTCAATTCTTGAACACGAAAAGAAACTCTTTATCCTTCACATTGTCCTTTGCATTACCAAATAGATTCCATGAGCACAAATAGTGGATTGCATCAGGAACAATCTTACTAATAGCATTCACCATTTGCTTTATCTCCATCTGTGACAACTGTATTTGGCTTCTTAACCATCGTTTCCGCAAAGGCTTCTGAGATCCAATTATAAGATTCTTCATTTTCTTTGTTCAAGAGTGCACATGCAAATACACAGATGTTGTCGTGATGATTTACACCTGCAAAAAAAAAATGTAATGTCCAATTCATCACTGCACACCAATTTTAGTAACACTTTAATTTTATCAACATTTTTACATACATTGAACATAGATATGTAAATGTAATCCCACATTAGCATATCCACTAGCTGCATTGGTCACAAAATTCATGATTTGATAAGGTCTTAAACTGACAGATTTCAAACTGGTAACAAGTGATGCATCTGTTTTACTTAACAATAGTGTGATCCAAGGTGATGAACTTGATGGTAGGGAACTAAAAGATTGCAGTGCTCATTCTTGAAGCGATAAGCATGCCATCTCATGTCCTTCTATTTCAAAGACACAAGGAAATAAGCTTCACAATCAAACCCCATTATCGCCCTTGGTTTTATTTTTATGTCTGTAGTTTTCTTCTTTCTGAAACCTGTGCCAGAACAAACCCACTTGCGCGATACTATTTCTTTGCTTGTGTTTCGTTAAGTATTACTCTTTCTAATTCCAAATCCAATTGCTTAGGAAAATCTCTTATAGAAAGCTTCACCATCCTCCACACTATTGAAAGACATTCTGTAGACATCAGTAGCCTTCAACTTAGTCAAATTTTATCATTCTTCTTCCTCCACATTCTCAACATTAACAGACTGTTATGTTTCTCCTTCTTCCTCATTCTCAAGATTCACAGACTATGCTATTTCTTCTTCCTCTTCACGACTAACAGCTTGTTCAGTCTCCGTTCTTTCTTCCACCACAATAAGAGTCTCCTCTAAGTTTGACCCTATCCTAACCACGACCCTGTAAAAATAGAAATAACAATGATTGTAAAAATTAATTCATGAGTTAAGTTCGAAATAAAAAACAAATCACAATTATGGAGGACTAACTCGGCCTCTGTTGTCGGTGCATCCTTGGCCTTGCTGCTGGGATCAATTTCCCCCCTCTAACTTATCCTGCTAACGCGGAGCTAAATGCTTTGGTTTTCTTTTGCCGTAGCGGATTATTGTAATCTTGCATTCTCCTACCACGCAAGAAAAATCTAACGCGCTGGTGGCGTTATTTGCTTACCCTGTTTCCGGGATTTTTCTTACGTAGATTCAGGGTGTTGGATCGTCAAGAAGAAAATAGGTTGAACTGAATTGGAAGGCCAGGGAATGACTAAGTCCCAATTCTGCCGAGTGCTGTGAAGTCAGTCCCAATTATGATGAGAACTAGACGAAAATTGACTGACTAAAAAGGGACGTGAATATTAATGTCAGACGCAAGCAACTAATATATCTTGGATGAGAACTAGAGGAACACTTGTCAAGATGAATTGATTCTAAAACCTAGAATTGATTTTGAATATATGCTTAACTGTTGAGTTTTTCTTTTCCTTCAAGGGAATATAAGGTGAAGAATAGAAGAAGCCTACTTCCTCTCGGATTCTGACAGGGAAACAAAAGCAAAGTACCCATCGATTTTCATTAAGTTCACTTTTTATGATTTGCATATAAAATGATGCATTCAAACCATCTCTTCATACAAAAAAACAATAGTAGGGTGTTCCTGTTTCCGACGAGGCTACAACATGAAACCACTCCACCTCCGTCGAAGTTGCAGCCCAACTCTCCAACAGTTCGAAACCGCTTTTAGCCACACGACATGTTGCGTCGCATTTCATTTATATGAAGAAAAGGCTGAAATAATATGCTATTAAGATTAAGAGATTCGTTGGGCCTCATTTTAATTGTGGGCCTCCAAAAGTGATACTTGGGCATTTATCACATGCGGGATTAAGTCAAAAATGAGAGCCCTAAGCCCATAAACATAATCGCAAGGAGAAGAAGAGCCTTTCTCGATCAAACACAGCTTTCCCTTTCTTCAACCACCTAATTTTTATGTTCTTCAATCAACAACAGAGGGTTCCAACGATGTTTGGTGTGATTTGCTATAATCAGTAAAATTGACGACTGAGTATCCCCCCAGAGTCAATCAGTACTAGCAAAAATTAGTTTCCCCCTTCGATTTCCATTTATCAAGCCGAAGCCTTCCCCAACATTTTCACGAACAGGGCCGCACACATCTACCACGCAATGGCTCATTTATTTTATGTGTAATCCACATCCATATCATGCAGATTCGTTCTCCACGATCCACGTTCTTATCATTGCCGTATCATCCCTTGTCTTTCCACGTTGCCGGTGGCACCATCAGAGCTTCTGGCTCGTCGTCGACTCTAACATCAACCGGGATGGTTTTGCACGGTGGATGAGTCAGCGACTCTAAGAAATTAGTTCTTAGTTGTAGGAGTTGGAGTTGGCATTGCCTTCAACCTGAGATTGGGTCGTCGTCGGGTCAATGGGTCTTCGATTTTGGTGGGAGCGGCATAGGGGAAGAAGAAAAGCATAATTTGGGCCACTAAATTGAAAAACCCACCCCTTTTGTTGCTTTCCCACGACTTCCCCCCGCCAGCTCACCTATTGCCTGACCTGTTTATGGCGATACTCATTCCGGCAACTTCCCTGTTGGATTCGACAGAGTCTTCGTCACCGTTCCTCCTTACATGCTGTCAATTCCATGTTTCTCTCCCCCAAGATATGACGATTTCGTGAATCAATCGACGCAAGTGTGATATTGATGTATAGAGGGTTGGATGGATCGGGGACTTCGAGATGGAGGTTTTCCGATCATGGAATCGGCAGCCACACAATTCGGCGGCCGCACAATTCTTCAGATGGTAAGAAACTTAGAATTGAGGAAATGAAAAATAGTGACCTCTTGTTGTTTTATTAATTTCACGGAGGAATCAATATGTCGGACTGGGAAGGTTAACAGAGATTGGGAAGCTAGACGCTACCCACTGGGAAGAAGAATAAACTGATTGTCTCCGTCATCGCCGGCACCAATCCGCATCTCTGCCATCGCTGGCACCAATCCGCATCTCTGCCATCGCTGGCACCATCGCACCAGCTGCCTCACCAAGGCTATGGAAATCGTCGTTGGTGATTCTTCATCGAGATTCTTCATCATCGGTGGAATCGTCATTGAATTCACTGTTTGCTCATGATTGAGCTCGAGTTTGCGGAAAATTGTTTGCAAAATTGTGTGGATGGAATTAAAACATCGACTTAACCTTCTCCCCCAGCGACAATGTCCACCGTATCACTCCCAAATGACGTTGAAGCATCATTTATCGCTAAGGACAAGTAGATCAACTTATCTCAACACAAATGAAGACTAGATCTATGCTTCTCAATTTGAGAATAATCAGAGCTCTTTGTTTTCTGAGAAGGGAGTTTCATTGAAGGATTTTGATTGTAGACGGTTTTTCACTTCCATTTAGGATGTAGAATCACGATATAGACCTTGAATAGGAAGTTTGTGAATCGTTGCTCCGGTGGCGGGACGAAGGTCATGTTGACCGATTTTTGATGCCGATGCAGGGATATTGTATCTCATTTATTATTTTGAGAGAGAAAAATATTTTTTGTTTTTTGTTTTGAAGCAGCTTGTGTAGATGCACCAACAATGTATGGAGCCACTTTATGTTGTTTACCTCTGTGTTGTTAGACTAGCTTAGCTTAATTGTTTAGTAGAATGCACCCTACGAATTTCATAAAGCAGACCACTAAAGCATACAACACATAATTCATAAGCCTACTAGAAACTTTCTAATATAGCCCGCAAACACATTAAAACAAAATCACAAAAAACATACTAAAAACCTCCTAATGCAGACCACAAATCTCCTAAAACATACCAGAAACACCATAAATCATACCACAAATATTTCTAAAGCACACCAAAAACCTCCTAATGTATACCACAAACACGATAAAGCAAATCACAAAAAAAAAATACCAGAAACCTCCTAATGCATACCATAAATCCTCTAAAACAAACCAGAAACCTCACAAAGCATGCCACAAATATTTCATAAGCACATAAAAAACTTCTAATGCAAACCACAAACACAGTTAAACAAACCATAAAAAGCATACCAGAAACCTCCTAATGCAGACCACAAATCTATTAAAACATACAAGAAACTCCACAAAGCAAACCAGAAATAATTCGAAAGTACACAAAAAAAACATCTTAATGCAAACCACAAACACGATAAAACAAACCACAAAATGCAAACCCTAAATCTAAGAATGCAAACCACAATATCCGTTGGTCGTTTACCAAACTACAATGATTGTCGGTGACCAGATTCCAGCGCTTATAAGCATATTTCGGCCTCGATGACCAGATTCCGACGACGATAAGCATATTCCGACCCGATAATCCAATTATGGCGACGATGAGCATATTCCGGCGATGTTGAGCATATTCCGACGACAATGCGCATATTTTTGCCACTGTCGACCAGATTCTAACGACCGATGACCAAATTTCGGGGACTGGTGATCGGTTTTCGACGATCGGCGACCGGATTCTGGCGACCAGTGACTGGATTCCGACGAACAAAAAATTAGGACACAAAATAAAATTTTAATTTTAGAATTATTTTAATTTTCTATTTTTTTATTATTTAATATAATATTCATCATGACTATTATACTTTCGTTAATTTTTCACTAGGTCAACCTAGCTAATAAAAAGTAATCACAATCCTAGCTTTCTATTGGGTGGACACTAGTGTTGTCAACCTAACAACATAAGGGTGTTGTTTGTCACCCTATCTTTTCCCGAAACCAGGATAGTGGAGAAGACAAAATCGCGTGAAGGAAATCGAGAGGCGACAAGAGATGTTGAAACTCGTGACAGCAGGAGGAGACAGAATCACATGGAGGAATTCGGGAGACGACAAAATATGAAACGGAATCGCGGAGGAACAACGACGACTATAACAAAGATGGAAATTCGCGACAGAGGGAGGAGATGGAACTAAGGAGAAGAAATCGGAAAGAGGGGGGGGGAAGTTGAAACTGAAATGAAGTTGAGCAGTTGCACGCACGAGTTCATTTATTTTAGATGTCTTGACTCTTGGGTTGTCGCCAAGTTCTAGAAATTTTGAGGTTGTGCTGGATTTCAATGTGAAATTCGATCCATTCGTCGTTTAGTTTGGAATTCTCATATTTAAATATCAATTTAACCAAAAGTTTCAAGCGTGGTTTACATTGAGTTTTTTCAACTCCTCAAAAGCAAAAAATTTCAAAAATTGAACACCATCACTTGTACTCACAAAAGTAATTTAATTTACCTATTAATACTCTACATACACCTTTGAGTTAGTTTACGCAGATAATGAAGAGCCACAGAGTTCTAGAAGATGATCCCACAAAACCGGTTTCACTAATTTAGGAGAGCAGACGTGGCATCATCCAGCTGCCCCAGCCTGTACACACAGCTCGACCATCCAACCGCTCACAATCAACCCCCACGTAATTCCGAAAATCCCAGCCATTAAAACTGAAAACCCCAAAAGCACCAAACAGAGGGATGTTTCTTTTTCTTTTTTTCCTTTTTTCCGTTCCGTTTTGACTTTGACCTGGGGTAAAACGGGAAGTCGAAGCGAAGCTTGGCTGGCAAGGAATATCTCCGGGGAACTAATCAGGGCAAAATTCATGGGGGCAGGATACGTGTTGCTACAGTAAAGGAAAACCTCCCAACCCTTTCCCCTCTTTTTTTTTTTATAAGAAACAAACGCTCGTTCACGCAAAAATCAATAATAATTACCCCATAAATTAAGCAAGAACCAAAACCAAACCCCGCCCGCTGTGATCAATCAATTCAGTTGATCGAGTTGGGGTGTGGGAAAATCCCAGGAAAACCAAAAAGAAAAAGAAAAAAAAAACAATGGTGAAGGAAAGTGCGAGGAAGTGTTCGCACTGCGGCCACAATGGCCACAACTCCAGGACGTGCAACGCTGCCAAGCCACCTGCCGCCGGAATCAAGCTGTTCGGCGTCAACATCGTCGAGAAGTTGGCTGCACCGGAACATCAGCCGGCGTTGATGATGAAGAAAAGCGCCAGCATGGGGAATCTGGACTCATGGATCAACGGCTCCGTTGGCCAAAATGCGGTGGTGGAGGAGGCAGGGTATCTGTCCGACGGATACCTCAGTTCCAAGCGTGGCAAGGCGGCCGCTCACGAAAGGAAGAAAGGTACCTACCGACCACCTTCTTTTATTCTCCTTGTCCATCTGTTTTAGGAAATTACAAGGCAGGGGTTTTTTTTTTTTTTTGGTTTTGGTTTGGGCAGGGAAGCCATGGACGGAGGAAGAGCACAGGGTGTTTCTGGCGGGATTGAGAAAGCTTGGGAAAGGGGACTGGAGAGGGATCTCCAAGAAGTTTGTGACGACCAGAACTCCGACGCAGGTTGCGAGTCATGCACAGAAGTATTTCCTGAGACGGTCTTCGATCGACAAAAGGAAGAGGAGATCCAGCCTCTTCGACATGACCCTCGACGCTGTTTCTTCTTCCTCATCGATATCACCTTCTTCACCATCATCCGCGGTACGCCTCTTCTTCTTCATGATCCATAACATATGCATGTGTTTCCGGTTCACACCGGGTTTTGACAGAGGTATAAACGCAGGTTTTGGGGTCTCAGGATTTGGCTCCAGTAATCAAGACACCGAGAACGTACTCTATCCAACAGGCAAGTGTTCCGCAATCCGAGAACGAGAAGGTAACCGAAACCCTACTGCCATTGCCAACGCCACCTTCAACTCGGATTGCCAACAGCAACAACAACAACAGATTTCCACATCTGGGCATAGAGAGTTATCCCAAGTTTCAACCAGCCACAACCACCACTGCTCGCTTTTCCAGTTTCCATCCGGGTCCTTACATGGCAAGGATTTTGATTGAGTACCTGATTCAACACTGAAACATGATTCAACCCATTCTGCTGAGTTTGACATCTCTAATATGTATGCAGGACTTTCTGGCTTCCAAACCTGTTGTGCAGAACTTCATGTGCCACCCGAGTTTGGTTTACTATACCCCTCCAGTTTTTCCAGGTTGTTTGCCTGTCGTGGCTCACCCTTCAGGAATACCATGGCCAAGGTCGAGTTTTGCACACTCGCAGCAGGTTTCGTCAGCTTCGCCAAGTAAGAAGCAAGATCCCCTGAAGCTGGAGCTGAAAGTTGGAGAGTCATCTTCTGAGTCAGCCTCGTCACAAGGAGCAGCAGCAGCAGCAGATATCCCATCTCGTCCCCCTGGAGCAATTAGTGTACAATGAATGGGAAGGCACCTAAATTTTTTCATTCTTTTCTTAGTTTTTGACAGCAGTAGGAATAGAGTGGCATGTAGGAGTAAAGTATATATAGGTTAGTTTTTCCAATAACGTTTTTGCATTCAACGGAAACTTTAATAGTTCTGGCGTGATGCAATGAAATGTCTGATGAGATTGAGAAAGCTACCAAATGTTGAGCATGGAAGGCTTTTGACATAAAAGAACAATGCCATTACTGAATCTTTTGTACATGGCCTTCACAGTTAGACCCAAACAAAACGAAAAGGGAACATGAACAAGAACAAGGAACAAGACGCAGGACGACCAAACAGCAGACGTGTTTAGATGAACAGAAAAGAGATAATTTTGTGATGGACTAATATAGGGAATGGATTATGATCAAGGCTACTACTAGTAAGAAGCCAATCCTGCACATGCGGTGTTGTTGCCAGTCGCCAACCAAATGCGAACTAAGACGAACAGCAGCCAGACTTCTGGTCAACTGGCTGTCCACGTATCTGCACGATTGATGGCTTTCCAGCATTTGATGCTGGCTGACTTGCCATTCTGCACAGATGAAATTGAGTAGACAAATGTATGAGACAACGATATCTGCACATCGAGTGAACATTCTCCTAAGGCACCAAAGTATCAACTGCTCCTGAAGTTCAAATGTATGACTTGATGAGTGCAAACGAGAGATATCAGGGTGCCCATGCCCTTGTCTCTATGGTTAGCTTTTTTTTTTTTTTTTTATAATGGTCTCTATGGTTAGCTTTTAAGCAGCAACAAAGAATTAACTAGTTCTCTGAAAAATAATCTGTATGCTTCTTTGCCTTATCATTTAAGCTATAGTAAAGCAGTACACTAAAGGGACTCAATCAACACTCAAACAAGCTGTCAACAGTTGGTGACAACAACTACGAAGATTGAAAAAGATAGCACATGTAATAAGTACCAAAGAGATACCTCTTCTTAATGTCAGCAGACATTGCCATAAAAGCCTCCTCAACATTGGTTGAACTTTTCGCACTAGTCTCCATGAAAGGAATGCCAATTTCATCTGCAAATGCCTTTTGAAAGCGCAGGAAAAAAGTTTAAGGGCCATAGTTGCTGAAAAAAGGTCAAGGGTCATGGTTGCTGCCTTTCTCTCTCTAACACAATCAGGTTGCAGGTGAAATGAAGTATACCTTGGCAGTTTCATAAGACACAACTCTGTTAGCAGTGAGATCAGACTTGTTCCCAACCAAGAGCTTGTTTACATTTTCACTTGCATAGCGGTCAATTTCACTCAACCACTGCTTAACGTTATTGAAACTTTCCTCATCCGTCACATCATAAACTATCTGCCAAATACAACCGCAGACAGCTTTATGATATATATTACCCGGGACGAATGAGAGCACTCCACAACTCACAATACCAAACATGTCAAACTTACGATAATGCCATGTGCTCCCCTATAGTAGCTGCTAGTAATTGTCCTGAACCTTTCCTGGCCAGCAGTGTCCCACTGGGAAAATTTCAAGAACGGAAGAAGATAAATTGTATAAGGTTTAGATCACAGAAGTAAGAAACCATAAGAGAGGCAATGGCAAACCATGTACTTACAATTTGGAGCTTAATTGTTTTCTCATCTTGCTCCACAGTTCGGATTTTCTAAAAGTTCATCGGATGAAATAAGCATAAGTAATCAAAACCATATATAAATTTTCAAGAACTCAGAACTGCAAAGCATACTCACAAAGTCTACACCAATTGTGCTAATGTAACTTTCCAGATACGAATCATCCTGCAGCAGAAGCAGAGAAGGGTTAGTTTGTATGAAGCTGTAGCTTCAGCTCCAGATGGAAAACGAAGACAAGTCCAAACATCAACTGAGCTTCACCACTACTCAGCATTCTGCGACTAACCAGACACAACCACTACAATTAATGCAGATTCGTCTCCTAGATGACAAGGAGTTCAAAACCAAGCAGCAGTATCTATGCACAGTTGCCCAGCTCAGATGACAATTGGATGTGATCTCTAGACCTACAGGGCAAGAGATGCCATGACAGGGAAAGAGAGTAGAAACTGCTTACCGCAAATCTGAGAAGGAGACATGACTTGCCAACTCCAGAGTCCCCGATAAGCAAGAGCTTGAACAGATAGTCACTGCATCAGACAGAAACCCTAAACAAATGAAATACACACACTCTTTTGACGCCTGAGGTTCAAACCACACAAAAATGAAAATTCCCTGCAAAATTTGCTTATCCTTCCCCTGATCACAGGAAAAAAACAACCAAAAAAACCAGCGAATTCGTATGAAGCGCCATGCAATTGATCGTTTCCCTTAAAGGTTTACCCCCCTGAGAATAGAGGACTTACTACTCGGGATTCATTTCTGGAGTCGGCGACCAGATGGACAGGTCCGGCGGGCAACTGAAATGGAATTTTATGAGAGAGAGATTGAAACGCACAAAAAAAAAAAAAAAGGAGATCGATATTGATTCCAAGCTTATGAGGTGACACGATGAAGAGTGGAATTGAGGAGCTGGCAGCTACTGAGATGAGCGGCAGAGGGCAGGGCACCGACACCCCTTCTCGTGGCGTTTGCGGCAGAAAACAGAAGCTGTGAAATGTCTTTTTTGTTGTTGTTCTTGGCCGAGTTGGAAATCAACGTCCGCCGTCCATTAATTAATAAATAATAATAATCAAAACATAATTTTTTTAATAATAACCGGTTACAATGTGCTACTAGAGTAGAGGTGAAGGGGAAGTGTCGTTACTAAGAATCTAACACACGACTAGGGATGGCAATCAAACCCATGATCGAGGGTATCCGACCGTCCCCGACCCAGTCAACGTGGGGAATCCCCGCATTGACCGGGTATGGGTAAAACTCGCAAAAAGTTTGATGGGTATGGGGCGGGTATGGGTTTAGCCTCCCCCGACCCATATCCATACCCATACCCATACCCGCCCCACCAAAAACATTTCTTCACATATAAAATGTACATTAATTAAATTGTAATCTATCATTAATAGCAAGGGTAACTCATGAAAATAAATAGTAGAAATACAATTGAGTGACCACCCAAATCAAAACATAATTCATTTCCTCCAAATCATCCTTCATTTTTTGACAGATGTACCAAAGTCAGAGAATAATGATTTGGCTTATATTGTTACTCTGTCTTATGGATTATTGGATGTTTTAGAATAAGATGCTTAGAATAGTATTAAGAATGATTGTTTCTTTGTCGACTTTATGAAATAGTAGGTGCGTTTAGTATTATAATTGAAATTTTTGTATGTAAAATTTCAGCTATTATAATGTAGGATGTACGAGACGGGTATTACCCATGGGTACCCGAAACCCACGAGTATGGGGATGGGTTTGCAAATCCTTCCCCGCATGGGTATGGGGCGGGTATGGATTTGGATATTTGAAAGCGGGGATTGGGATGGTTTAGGCAAACCCGCCCCATTGCCATCCCTACACACGACCTTTTAACGGGGAAGTGTGCCGACTCACCAGCTAACTAGCCCTCGTTCGCAACATAATTTGTAGTCATACTCTTACACAAAAAAAAAAAAAGAAGCTCCCATTGGAAATGCAGATTCGCTTTGACGGATATTTTCCGCTTTGATCCGTAGTGGGACGAATAAAATCCAACCCTTACTAGAACGGGACAAATCATGATCCGATCTGCTGATAGAACAAGGTGGATATGATTAATGTTGATGATCCATCTTATCCTGGCCCGCCTTTTGCATTGGGCTCTTTCATTAACTGATAAAAATAATCAGTTAGTCTGCCAAAATTCTCTTTTCAGAAAGATAAGAAATGGCTCCACGTGCTCTTATTTTTTATTTGAAAAAATGGGAATTCCAATAAAAAATAAGAGCATTATCAAAGTTTTTCAAAGAAGGGTTATCTTGACTCAGGTCCTAGATTCATGGAGATATAGAAGAGCATATAAGTTATCATGCTTGCATATCCACCATTTGAGTCTCCAACAATTATTCCAATAATTACATATCCGATTTGACCTATGGACGAATATGCAAGCATACGTTACATGCTTGTTTGAGTAATAGCAATGATATTTCCCACTATCATGCTCCCCAGACTTGATGGATAATATATCACTTCGAGAGTAGTAGCATGTTTATACCTTTCCTCTTAATATATTAACAAGTTGACAACATTTGAATAAGACAATTGATGAAGGAAATAACAAATGGGTCTTTAAAATGGATCATGAAGTTTTTCTACTTATGACTTTTGGGTTTTGAAGTCCATTAAGATTTTTTTAGAAACTTAGTGCCTTTCAAGTTTCTATTTTATGGGAGGATGGTTGAAGATGGGGCAGAGCGGATTATATATGTCCCATGCGGAGCAAAGTATGGGGCGGATATTTTTGTTCCCTCGTGGGGTGTTGGACAGAGCGGGTTACGAGTTTTGTGGCGCGATGGGGCAGGGCACGAATTTGGTACTATTCGCCTCAAACATGACTCGTTGCCATTCCTAGCTCCCACTAACGCATTAGTGGGTTGTTGTCCGTGGACCGGATAGTAGGGTGGAATCCTAACTAAACCAAATGGGAGATTGCAGTTTAGACCAAAGTATATGGTTTGGTCAGGATCGTGAGACAAGAATCATAGTCTGGTTTGGCTTGCGGTCTCCCCCCTTTAGAGCACGGCTTGACGTGGTTTGGACCGCAATTAGCCGTCACGGCTCTTGACCCACTACTTACTAATCCAAATTAAAATAACAGTAAACCTCTATTTCCATATTTGGAAAAACAACCCGATCCTAATAAATCCGAGTATAGCGAGGAAACAATTCGATCTTCCGATTATAGATTTCTGTACAAGCACAATAAATCTATTGATTCTTTATCCAACTAAAACCCAACAGACTACTTAAGTAATCCCTTCAGAGCATGGTCTGGTATGCACTTCAGAATGCTTAAGCTGATCTGGGAGCAGTCAACAGAAGGCTGAACAACCTGCCTAAAGACAAAGGGAAGACAAAGCTGGAAGCCTGCACAAAGGGGGAGTCATCTCGTCTGCAAACTAAAATAGAGGAGACAACCCTAGGGAATACTAGTGGGCACAATACGCGACCAACTTGCAGGGAAAAGTATTCAGATCAACATTATGGGGTGATGATGTTAGTTCATATTGTGAGTTGGAAGAGGAACCTGAAGAGGGACTGCATGATAGCTTCTCTGATGGGGAGATCTTAGAAAATGAGTCTGGCCCTGAATACGACTTCTAGAAGAAAGGTGCATCCTTTGAGTGAGGCAGAGAGTGTCTTTTTGAACGATTAAAATTGCACAGTTTGTTTCTTTCTTGTGAACTATTTGTTTGGCAGTAGAACTCTAGTGTCTATTTCTTCAGTTGGATTTTATGAGGACCTGATTTGCTAAGTTTCAAAGTTTGTTTGAATTCTACTTCTATCTGTTGGCTAGCGTGATCTATGATGGCTAACCCTTGTATCTGGTATTTTGTGTGATTAGCAACAAGTTCAGTCATTGCCAAACTGAGGACGAGAACGTTGGGGACAACGTGGCAATGACAATAGAAACCGCAGCAACTACCACGAGCTAGAGAAATCATTTACATCAGCACCCGTAGCAGCTAGCACCAACTGGAGAAAGATTACGGGAATCATCCTCAATGGCTCGCACCGAATATGGAAAGCTATAAAATCAAGGAGCAAGCAAGGAAAGTAAATAATTTGATTCAAACAGCTCTAAGGAGAAGACTTGTATATATGGAGAGCAGAAAACTAAAGTAGTAGTCAGACTTTTCTACGAACAAGAATCGAGAGCACAAAAGGGTTTGTGAGCGATTAAGGAGAGAAAATCGGACAAATTTTTGAGTGATTTCTAGAATTGATATTTGGGAATATCAAGTGTTATTAGCTGGATAGCTAGTGTGAGTGTGAGATTGGTAAGGTGAGATCTATTAACGGGGAGATCATCAATTGGTTTATGAGTGAGTTGTAAATCTGTGAACATTGTCGGAGGTACACTCCGATCATCTGACTGTGGAATAGTCAGTTTTGGGATCCTCATTCTCCAGACATTGGAAACCATGTAAAAAATCGTTTGTCATGTGCATTTTTTCTTAATCTGTTTTGCATTTTAGTTATGGAATTTTGTTCTTGGTTGTTCTTCTTTTGAGTATTGCAGGGCGCTCTTCAACCCGAAAGAAAAAGGAGCAATTGTTGGCTTGTTGGTAAAGCGCACAGTTTGTGCAGGTTAAGTAAGTTTGTTAGTTCATTCTTATTAGTAACTAGATATTTCTGGCACTTCGTTGTGCAAATTTTGTTATTACGCATATGTTTAGTTTGATTTGTTTGATTAGTAATGAGGGCTAGTTAAGGGGACTAGGAGGTTCTCAAACCAACACACCAAGGTTTGCAGGTTCAGTCTCTCAAGCTAGTTAAGGGGACTCATCCACTGAGGTAAGTTACAATGGTGATAGACCATATGGTAATCCTATTAGCCAAGCAAAGGCATTTGCAGCCTTCACTCCTGAAGAGATAGAATAGACTTAGGCCATAATTTCCTAGTGCTCTTCATCATGCACTGTTATGTTACCCTTATGTTCTTCTTTATGTCCATATTCATCAGTGGCTTCATCACTGCAGCTCCAAGTTGTTGTCATAACCTTCTCTCGATTCAGTTTCTTGTTTGGACAATCTACTCTGAGATGTCGTGGTCTTCCAAACCCGATACATGTGACAACAACTTTATCGACATTCAAATGGTTTTTGTGTCCATCAAATCCGTCTAAATTATTTTGGTCATGGTTACTTCTTCTCTTGCCAAATTGTTTGCCATCATAGTTCATTCTTTGTTTCCTCTTAAACTTTAAGTATTATAGTTGCTTACTTAGAAAAGCGATTTAACTGTCAACTTCTTCCTTATCATCATAATTTATATTGGGTTTTCAAGGCTAAGTCTTTCCTTTTCTTTTGTTTCTCTCCATCTTCAATTCTTAGAACGCTCTCATGAGAAGTGAGAGACCCTATTAGCTCATTAAGCTCAAATTTGGCAAGATCTTTTAATTCTTCAATAGCTGTGACTTTAGGCAAAGAATTTAACTTACTGACTAAGTTTGCATTGCTATATACCTATCCTAGCGTCATTAACCCACTAACGATCCTTGTGAAACAGTCATACATTTCATAGATGCTTTCATTTTTCAGCATTATGAACATTTCATATTCATTAACTAGCATCCTAATATGAGTATCATTAACTTCAGACGTACCTTCCTAGGTGATTTCCAATGTATCTCAAATTTCTTTCATTGATTTACACATAGCCACTTTCCCATATTATTTTCTGCCAACAGCACACTTTAGAATATGTTTTGCGTTGGCATTGATCTGAAGTTTCTTGAGATCATGTTATATCCAGATGTCAATCTCATTGCTTACTTTCTCTAGTCCTTTATGTATATTAATCCTGGTAAACATATCATATGCCTTCGCAAAATCCTCTATACAGCTCCTCCATAAGGCATAGTTATTTCCATTCAACTTGGGTGGACGAGTAGCTGAGTGCCCATCCATATGATTTGTAGGCGGTAGATGCTCACCATTCTGATTGATGAAGTTGAAGTGTACAGCG